TGTCTTTTAGTGCCTCACAGTTATTCTCAGTTAAGTACAGACTGACAATTTACTGTCCTCTATATGGGGAGCCCTCTAGCAGCACAGCTATAAGAATAAAACATGATGATGACTTGAAAAAACACAGCTACTCATTATTCTTGTGGGCATAACAACAATTAGGCAATATATTAAGATCACCTGCCTCTAAAGTCATTTGCAGTCCTTAAAAATACTTTGCATGTTGTCTTGCATTATCTGTTCAATTTGACATTCCCTAGACGACAATAAGTATAGCTTTAAAAATCACTATGTATTTAATTCATTACAGTTGTACAGTATGTAACTTTCCAGAGATGACCCTCCACCTGCATTATTCCATTGAAATAGAAAGGTAAAAATGTACTTCAGAACAATCTCTATGGAAATATATTTTATGCCAAATTTTTCAGTGCAAAAAACACAAAGTTACATACAGTGGCTTTAAAATCAAGATTCTTAGTAATTGTTCCTCATTCAAATTAAAAGATTAGTTGTATTGTACCTAGATATATGTAGATATTTATATCTACATATATCTATATATGTATATATATCATTATATATATACTGATATATTCTTCACTCCTCATAGGTTATAATGTTTTGTCTGTTTTGTTTGTACCAGTTACACCCTGTTTCATGTACAAATCCTGTCGAATATTCACAGCTGCACACAGGAAACACAAACTCTTCTGTCTGGAGAGTTGGAGTAAGACATCCCAGGGCGCAGTTTAATTAAATCACTCTCTCCTCTCATCCTTCATCATCTGCCATTTTGGCTCAGAAATCACTCACTGAAGCATGAACACTTTTTAAAGGGGACACACATTCAGAGCTTGAGTTGGACCCCATGCTCTTCCAAAGATTTTCAACTGTACAGCATCTCTCTAATATTGTTATGTAATCAGACCCAGGCAGATAAACTTATTGTATACACAGAGAAAGAATAAATTGTTTTGAAATAGATATTAGAAAAAGGTTGTAAAGAGGAGTCATTTTTCCAAATTTGAGTAGACAGGGAACCTTTTGTGCCACAGTTCTGTAGGAATCAAAGCAGCCCTTTTATAAATGAAATCCCAGTCTCAAACAGTACAATGGAAAGCAGCAGTGAGTTGCCCTCATTGTCTAACGCTATGGGGCATGTATAATGGGAGACCCATCACTACTACATTTCATTTTGTATATGACTTGTATATATTTCTAAAAGAGATTCCCCTTTAGTCAAATCGACTATGACACATCATTTCAGTTCTTTATAATTACATAGTGCATGCTGCTGCCAGATGCACCTGCTCGCTGTAGAGTTAAATGGGTCAGCTCCAGAAATATCTGTGCTCAGTGTAGACCTCCTCCTCTTGTATTCCCCTGGCTCGAACAGCATCACTATTACTGGTTTGACATCCTTGAATCCCTTATTTGTAGCGTGCAAAGTCATAAAAGTTGTGCTTGCATAACATCCCGGCTGCCTGGCTATAGCAGCACACAATGTTGTTCTGTCGAGTGGTTAACCGTGTTTCATATCATTGATTTCAGATAATGATGCAGGACACGAAGCCACCTCCTGCTGTTTTGTGTTATCGTACCAGCCACTGGGTTACTACAATGGGATCACAATATCAAGTGCTCCATTGTACAAACATTACAGGCCGAAGTAATTTCCTTCCAGCGTGCCTCCTGGTGAGATGAAAACTAGGATTTGTTGGAAAAAGGAGGTGAAGGAGAAATTGAATGAGCTGTTTACACTGTAGCTGCGGATGGGAAAGGAAACAGGACACCTGGGGCTTTGACAAATCAAACTGACCTTTAGTGAAGAAGAGACTGCATACCTTTGACACTAATGGGATTTCTAACACAGCAGCTATTTGTGTCAACAAAATGATGAAAAAAAAAATCGTAATTGAATAAATATAAAAATTTGAAGTTCTGATGCCATAAAAAACCTTGTTTATTGTTAGCTATAAAGTGCATTTCCATGTGTTAGTTAGCATTGACTAAAATTTGTCTATTTTACGGATCTGTTTTGTGTTTTAATATCAAACTTACACATCCTACTAGAATTCTACCAGAATAAGAGACAGCACCCTTCTGTGAGGCAGCTGTGCATCCCATAATGTTACAGCACTAAAAGGCTCCTCTTATCAGTACAAATTAGACTCTTATTGAGAAAAGAGAACTATAAGTGTCAATGTAGGAGACAAGCCCTTTGTTTCCTGTTGTGTAGCTGCTTAGTTGTATTTAGTGAAGGGATTATGCACACGATAGTACGAGGCTGTTTAATTAAAATGGATGTTTCAGAAGACACTTACAGTGCGGCCTTGTATCTCACTCCCATAAGGTTTGTCACTAACTATATCCTATGTTAAGAATACATTGTTCTTAAACAACAAAGATATACATGTGTTATACAGTTTAAGTCTGGCCAACTCTGTGGCCACAGCGAAATCTAAATGGAGAGCTGTAAAATCATTAAAACATCAATAAAATGTGACCCTGATTCACCTTTAACAGAAGACACACTCCCCCTGCTGGTCACAGTTTAGTATAACTTTTTGAAAAACTGTCACCATGGAAATGCCTTTGCAGTAATGTGTTTGGGGTGCATCACTGAAGCAGAACAGTGGAGTTTTCAACGATTGTCACCATGGAGATATATTGTTTTACCAAAGGATAGCAATAAATACATCACTTTGAAGAAAATCAGGTGACACAGTGGCCAAGTTACCAGTCAGATCTGTGGACAGATGACCCCACTCACAGCAAGAATGTGTTTTTATCAATAAAAACCTATAAGTGTATGCATGCAAGAACAGGTAGAGCAATAACATCTCCATAGTGGCAGAAAAGATACATAGTGCACATTTGAGCTAGATACAAAAATTACAAAAAGTTGCCAGTGCTGGAGTTTTTCTTCTTATATTTCTAAATCTAAATAGATGTTGTGATAATTTTGTAATCACAAGTATATAAGGCTACTAGGTCTTGTTCCATCGGCCTGAATAGGGAGAGTTGTGTGAAGGCATCTACAAATTCAACATTTTAGATCTAAAACAATTACTTTAATAGACTTTATTAGACATGTGCATGTTTTGTACATTATAGAGCTACATTGCATATAACACCAGTTAAATTATAAATCCACCATAATTAGTTTTATGATTCACATGATTCTCAAGTTTTAAATTCTTGCACAGACTGTGTACTTTTACAGTAAAATGGACTTATATTCTTATAAGTGGGAGGCATGTAATTAGCTCCAACTTTCCCAATTACATTGATAAACTAAAAGGTGAAGACAAAAAAAAATACATTCAGCTAAAATAATGCGAAAATATAATATAAAGTCAACAACAATAGTTTCTTTTGCTTCACAGTTTACACAATCAGAGGCATCATGGACAATCTTAACCATAAGGGACAACCACTCTGAAGTTTGTGAGTTTTGTCCAAATAAGTTTGCAACCTCATCACATACATTCAATAAAAATGTACTCATGAAAATAAAAAATAGACACATGACCTTATAAACCTTAAATTCACTAAACATCACAGATAGCAGCAAGTGACAGTTTGCATAACTCCAAGATATAATTATTTTCTAATTGTATTTAACCAGTTACACAACATCCACACCATTGAGCACTAGGGGTCACTGTGGCTACACAACCTGCACTGAGAAACACAGGCAGCATGAAGAACTCCGCAGGGACTGTATAACCTTATGGCTATCAGGTCTTCACTATAAAAGCATGATATTGCCATCAACTCTCAAACAGAAAGCACTTTTTGGAAGACATTTTTAGTGCTTGGAAACAGAACTATGTGTTCAGTGCAAAAACTTACATGTCATGTGCTAAAATGACTACTAATGCATCCATTAAGCTTGTTATTACTTCATATTTATAAATGAGTAATTCACTGCATTCCTTGGCTGTGTACATTTTGGAAAATGAGGGAATAAATCAACAAATTCTGGAAAATGGTCTCTATGTATCGAGAAAGCCTTTTGAAAAATTAACCACATTTTGCGTTAACACAAAAATCTAAGATATCACATGCATCCATTGTGTAGGTTTACTGTCTTTTGAATTATTACTACATCACTTTGAAGTTAAGGGACTTAAAGACTGATATTTGAAATGGTACCATGAACAACCCATGCCCCCTATGTTACAATAATAGCAACAGTGTCCATTAGAGGATCACAGAATGATGATTTGCTATAATCATTTGTGTTCAAGTATCAACATTATTCACTGTGCAAATGTGTCTATGTAATAACACAATAACAGACACAAAAAACGGCTGCATTATTGTTATTAATAAGTACGTCTTACAATGACCACTGCACTGGAAGACCCTCATCCATACAAGTATCACAACCTAGTTGACTTCCCTGAGACAACTCCAGTTAATTTCTTTGTCCGAGTAAGGCATGCTTTTGGAAGGACAGAGAACATGAGGGACATAAACAGCTAGAAGAAGGCAGCAACAACATTCTCACAACATCTATTACTAAGCTAGTACTGATTTAACTACATATGACAACACAGTTACAAGCGGCCATGTTGGGAAGTTTGGTAATTCGCCTCTGGTCAACATGCAGTTACAACATCATAGCTCAAAAGCTGAAACATATCAAGCACTGACTGAACATTCAAATGCACTACTTGTGAAATGGAAACTTAATTAAGGTCACAACGGTGTCACAGAACTAACAACAGGGGGCAGTAGTGACGAGTCATGCATATACATGTTTGTGCGGCGTGTGGGCCTACTTTCAAATAATGGAGAGTGACTTTCTGTGATGCAAGGAATGTTAGATAAATACCTACATTTACTACGCCTTCAACTTAATTCAGGACAAATTGAAATATGTATTTTTTGGCAGTACATTTAAAGATGACCCTGGTTTGCTGAAATCCACCTTGTGTAACTTATCCATCTTTTCTGGTTATAAGTGAAGTTGGGCTCATGTAGTTTCAGTCTGAGAATAGACTGACAAAGGACTTGCGTAGATTGCGAATGGTCTCAGTCTTCTCCTCCTCCTGGTTATGGCTGGCTGCTGGTGGCACTGGGGTTTCTGGAATGTTGAAGGTATTGGTAAGAGACTTGGACTTGCTACAAGGAGAAAACGGCGATAGAGAAGGAACAGGCATTAAAGTCATGCAGCAAATCCATGAAATGAAATGAAGCAACAGACAACTTTCCAAAATGACAAAAGGTACATTGTTAGTCACTCACTGAACCACAATGCCTCTTATATCATTTATCTTATGATATGGATGCTTGATTTCTCTTTATACAGAACCATGCACATATTATTGTAATAAGGCTAATTACTGCTAATTATATATAGCACTGATAAGATATAGACATACGTGCATACTAGTATAATACACAAAGTCCATAACTTGTACAACTTGTTCTTGTAAACATACATTACACAGTATAGATTTCTGTTCTCTTTTGTTCTTTACTAAAAAGGATTGTATTACAAATGCAGGTAGTGAAACAAGGTTGAGAACATTTATGATTTGTTATGTTTAACTCCCATGTGCTACTACTTTCAAGTTGTTTCACTCATGAAATTTGACCTGAATGAGTGAAAGGCCTGAAAGCGTCAGTAAATCACATGTGGCTCATGTGTCATGATGGAGCATGCCTTGTTTTTTAAGAGGCATGCTTGTCCCTATGCAGACAAAAGGAACGCCCTCTTAAGCTGTAGGGGTCACATTGTAAGAAACTGATATGTTTGATGGTACTTACTTTATTTGTGGAGAGCTGCCCGGTGCTGAGTTGTCCTGGTTTGGCTTCTGAGGTGGCTGAGGCTTCTGTTGCACTGGGGGTCGTCCTCCCTGCCCTTGAGTGGCAGGTCGTGGCTGTTGGGTGGTAGTCGCTCCAGGACGAGCTGGCTGCTGCTGCTGCCCTGGGCCTTTTGGTTGTGCTCCACTTAGTGACTGCTGCCTGGGGGGCTGGGCAGGCCTCTGTGCACCTGTAGCAGGCTTCTGCTGCTGTGACACAGAGCCCTGTCTCTGAGCACCCCCCTGTCCCACAGGCCTCTGCTGGGCCACACCAGGGCTAGTTTTAGGAGAACTGGACTCAGGGGCAGCAGATTGGGCCGGAGGCTGGCCTTGAGGTGATGGTCGCTGCTGAGAAGGCGGGCTCTGCTGAGGACCACCTACAGAGGGAAATTTCATTTTTTTAGGTTTGAATTTATGAAGTAACACACAAATTTGAAGCCGAACATAAATAGATAAGATTACCTTGAGGAGATGGACGCTGTTGTGACTGTGGTTCTCTGGCCTGTGACAGTGGTTGGGGTGAAGATGCTTTCTACAAATAAAGACGAATGAGGGTCAGTGACACAGTTAGATAATTGTTAGTGTTAGTTACTGGTTAGCAGTTAGAAAATAATAAATAATAGTCATAGGCCACTCACTGTAGAAGAGCTTCGTGGGACACACTGACTCATTTTTGAAATCACAAGTTCTGCAATTTGAACCCGATCTTCATCCTGCTGATCCCCAATCAGTGGCATTGAACAGTCATCTACCTGAGAAGACAACATAATTTCAATTGTACCACTCTTCTTTTATGGTACAATGGTCACTGTAAAATTTTGTTACCTCAATTATGTAGTCTTTCCCATCTTTCCCATGTAGAGCTTCAACTGCACAAATATCTAAGCCTCCAAATATATCTGCACATGAGTCAACCCACATTTTGTACCTGAAAAATTATGTTTTAAAACACATAAATAACACAAGACAACATCACTCGTGTACCAGGAGTTATGCCTCTTTAAGCACTTACTTGTCTGACATAGCCACCTGCTCCAACATTGAAGAGCCAGTGTTGGTTTTCCAGTTACCAGAAATCGATGTTCTCCTGTCAAAAATGTAATAAAGGTTTTACTAACTGGCTGGTTGTAAAAAAGATTATTCATTTGTACCAGAATAAGGGTTAGGTAATCTTTACTGACATGTATGCTTTGTAATTGTTGCCAATTTTTTGAATTCTGACATCATATTTTGCATCAATGAAGGGTTCAGATGTGGCATAGGTCTTGGTTAGTGCTACAATGCTGGCAATGTCTTGAAAATCATATTGATTGTCAACTTTGACCTGTGAAAAAGAAAGAAAAAAAATCACTTTTATGTCTTAATATGTAAAGATAACACACAAGCATGAAGTTATATAAGAATACCTTTCCCATTCCCGAGTGGGCATGGCCCATCTTCACCACAACAGGGAAATGTGTAGAAGAGATCTATAACAAAGTATATTGTTTATTAGTCAGGTTATCTTTATTTGCGTTGCTGGTTAAAATAAGCTAATGAGCAAAAGGAGAACCACAACCTGCACCCAAGCTAACGTTAATTAAGCTAACCCCAGCTGTTATATGGTATAAGATATTAACATGGAATTTGATTAGTCAGCTAATATGAGACCATTCAGAGAGGAGAGCCTTTTGAGCCCTGAAAGACTGTTTAGCAAAGTGACAGAGAGAGGAAAGGGAAGAAGGGAGGTGGGCAGAGTCAGGGGGCTTACCATTTCTTTGTGATTGGGATAATAAACCTGCTCTATTAATGGAAACTCCTCTGGACCGAACTGCTTATGTAGTTTGGACATCTGAGCAAACTAAAAAATAGATATTGTCAGTATGTGCCATATTATCTTAGTAATAGTAAAAAAAACATGGAAAACTTCAAATATCAGTACGCTTGACTGCTTGCCTATGAAGGTGCTACACATTTACCACCAGATGACCTCAAGTTTGTAAAAAGTAGGATAAATATAAGCAATGTACATGAAGGAAAGGAAAACACGGCAGTAATAGTGAAAAAAGGACTGGTACAAAGAAGAAACTGGCCTTTAATTCTTAGGGCTAAATGTTTCCATTGCTTATTGGTAGTTATGATATTCTTACATGTCACCATATTTTGACTGAGGAAAAGCAAATACTTACCACCCACGGTTTGTCACAAAAATTATAAACAGAGTGTACAGAGTTGACACTTGGTAGCCCAGCATATTGTAAACCTATCACTATATTGCGATGGTCCCCATTCTTGTCCATGCTGAAGGCATGTTGTCGAATCAGCACAAAATCTGGTTTAATAGTCCTGGGACAAGAGCATAAGAAAATATTACCATGGTGGAAAGCTCTACAGTAACAGTGCTTAGATGGATACTTACTTATTAACTTTGTGTCCACCCCTGATGGCGTCTATGGTGACACTGTAAACACCCATAGCATTTGCGACCAGATTGATTTCAGAAAATTCAGCCTAAAGGACAATAAAATGGTCAATAAATGATCAGTATGATCAAATGCCAAACAGGACTGTGACCTTCTAATGAAAAATGTCTTTGGACGATGTTGGAAAAACAGGTGTAAAAGGACACAATGAAGACAGCAAAGAAACAAAGCAGTGATCAATATTAAGACAAAAAGTGGAATATACACTGCGTTTCACCCCTGCGGCAAGCGTTTATACACTAATTATACTGGGAATTGTATACCCTTTACTAAACAAATATAACAAATGTATATTTGTATAGATGCTAAATAACATGGTGCTTAATACAAACCTGTTCTACCCTGATGTCAGATTCACCATGGACCTTTCTTCCCCTGAAAACCTTCACCCTGCACAACAACAATAACACAGTATTCCAATGCACAAATAGGGCCCACAATCTGCAGTAAAACCAAGATTGCTGGCCATTGAATAAGTCATATGACCGTTACTGGCCAGGTCAGTGCCTGTATCCAAATGGTACCGTAGCACCTGTGTGAATGTGCCTACCAGTCAGTCTGCTGATCATCAATGACCAGGAGGATCTTGGCGTTGCTGGAGACGCCAGCCCGGTCTGCAGCCTCTGACAGGGTCGCAGCAGCGGCTGCGGTGGTTTGTTTGACAGCATTGGATATGGATGAGAAGAAGCCCGTGGGTCCTCCTCCTGTCACTGGCCCAGTCTGCGGCTGGTTGCCGACCTGGCGCCTCTCTGAACCAGGAGACACTGCGGGGGTCTGCTGCGGAGGCTCGGGCCGCTGTAAATCCGTCATATAACCATTGGGCAGGTTGGAAATAAAATTACTATCTGAGAGTCGACGACGAAGGTAATTCATGGTGGCGACTTGTTATGATAGAATGGCGAGTGCAAAAGTCTTCTTGGAGGAGGCCAAGCAATAAAATTGAAGAAAAGCCAACACCACTTTCCTTTGAAGGTTATTGATCACCTAGAGAGAAACATGTTTTAAACATGAGCTTGCTCAATATTACGGACAAACAGCTAATGTCGTGACTGCGTTTGAGACAAGCACTTAGGTGCATGAAGGAGGTAGTAAAATCACTTCTGAATATTTCCAAATATTTCTGGTGGCTATTGCTAATGTAAAAATAAATGACAGCAGCAGCTTTACTAGTAGTGTGCTCTGCTTCTTGTATTAATGGTAAAACATACCTTAGAAACGATTCCAAATGGAGTGACTGAGGATCAGCGGACACGCGGCTTGATGTAACAGAATACGCCTCCAGCTAAACGGGACAGACAGGCCTGTCTGTGTGAGGACAGGAGGGGTGTCGGGTGTGGATCATTTCAGTTTAAACTACAGCGTGTTTCTGGGTCTTTCATTCACGGAGCAGCCCCAGTTTTTTCCATCTACCCTGCGTCACTCCCAGGCATCCTGAGGGAGGTAGACTGGACCGTTTGTCAAGTCACGTTCACGCACTTGGTTCAAGTTCCTGTTTGTGATGTTACAAAATAAAGGTCTAATTTGCGGATTTAATGACTTTAACCTAATGAGTACATCCTGGATCCCTAGGCAATAAGCATAAGAAGGGTAGTTTACACATCACCATTTACTGTAAAATAAATAAATGAATAAAATAAAATATTGTAAAACAAATCTAGTTTCCCTCTAATTGCCTACTGTTTTCCGCGTAGCCTACTTCCTGTTCTGGAAGTAATTTACTCTGACTTGACCAGTCTCGGATGAGAGGGTGGTGCTGAGGAGAGCAGGGTAACACAAGGACGTCTCCATCACAGAAGAGCTGAGGATGCGAGGTTTTTCTCCTTTACGCACCGCAATACAATAGCATTTATGACAGGCCTAACTCAATGCAAGCCCAAACTTTGACTTTGACTTTAACATCTATTAAAGAAATAAGGTCTACATCTGGTGATGCCGAGAACTGGTGACAATGACATGAGACTCCAGGCGTTAGGGAAGAGAAGGCTATATCAATTTGCCTATGCATTTGTGTCTAAAACACTTTGTGTTATTTTGATTGTACGGTATTTACACTGGTATGCCTAATTTACCTTGAAGGCTAATTTAGTTTATTAGTATAGACTCAGAAAGTACAAAAATGCACAAGATCTTCACAGAGGCCTATAATGTAGTTATGGATTGATGGCAAACTGAGTAGAAAATATTTTATAAACAAATTGCATTAACAAGGTCTTACAAGGCCACCATGTCAGCTATATATAGGCCTTTGTTTGTAAATCATGTTCCTGGAAGGCAGGTATGGTGTAACTCTGCATTCATACATACACTCTGTTGTTGGAGATTGATGGTTTGTATACAGAGCATACAGTGATATTTCTACTTGGGGGATACTTGTTTAAGAAATTCCATTTCTGAATTATACCGAGGGAACTTGCTGCCAGCTCAGTCCTCGTTATCTTGGCCAGCATCATTACAGGTACAACATTCCCTGCAACAGAAGTATAGCCAGACTAGATTAGACTGTGACCAGACTGAACTAGACAGGAATGGGTTACACAAGACAGTGTCTTGAGTGTTCATGTTCTGTACTGATGGTAAATTGACTTCTGAGTTAGAACTTCAGGCTCATGTCACTTCTCTTCAAATTTCAACTACTTCAGTTTACTATACAACAATGCTTACTTCTCAGCCATTTCACAGAGTAATAAACTTCAATCATCTTGTCTGAATTCTCATCAAGAAAATAGCCAATTACAAATAGATAGATATACATGTTTGTCAATTATTTATAAGAGAATAGTTGTTTTAAAAACATGCTAAATTAGATTATCAAACATCTAATAAAAGTTGCAAGAATAAAAAGAGAAACCTGGTGTTAGGTTTATCTAGACATTTAAAAACAAGAAGAAAGACAAGAGATTAATTCAGTTTTACTCATGAGGAGAACGGGCAGAGAGTGGGCATCAGGCCAACAGTCTCCACACGTTCTGATGACTCAAGGCCGCTCTCCTCTTTTTATTTCATTAGGAGGCCCTAGTTACAGAATGATAATTCTCAAGGGGAAGGGGGAACCAGCAAAGACATAATAAGAAACTGATGCAGCTAAGCATAGTATAAACACATAAAACATGATTAACAATCAGGAGGTGCCTTAGGTATGGACAGACACCATCATAACTCTTGCATGTGTGACAGTGGGAGTTGGCTTCATGTGAGGAATCATCTCGAGGTTCACAAGAGCGATAGGTCACTGCACACAGTTGTCAAACACAAAGAGGTTATTCATTTTCATACAAGTGATTGGTACATTATAAATCAAAGAATTGTAGTACATAAATGGTTAACTCATAGGCCTAGAATATCACACAAGTATTTAGCAAATATGGGATAATAGAATTATTCTGACACCTGGCAAAAAAAAAGAAAATAAACGTAAAGTGTAATCTTTCAACGATGACAGTCTAAATCTGTTTTAGAGTGCTATTAGACTGAACCAATCATCAGGAAAAGTCACTGCGAACATTACAAAGTTACAAAAAGCCCTTCACAATAATAAAATAGCACTGGAACCAAGGGGCTAACTGCTTCAATCCAACTGATTTTTGTATGGTGTGGTCTTCTTACAGTTCTAAGAATCCATCCAAGTGCAGTTCCAGCAAAAACTGGAAAAACTTGATCTGTTTCCTAGAAATTTTATTTCAGATTTTTCAAATTGCTCAAATGTTTTACAAAACAAAACTATGACAAACCTGACAGTCAAGCTGACTAGTATACACTGCACAATGAACAGAATGCTCTTGCACTGTAGGCTATATTGTGAATTAACTTATTTATTATAATGTATTTTGGGTATAATGTTGAATGATGTAGATTTATTTTGATCCAGGCAAGTTATTTGTGAATGTTTTTGTAGGATATGCCTTTAGGGGGCACACTTGAGTTTAATTTATACTGATAATTTGAACAAACAAGTAATGTGAACATAACTTGAAAGACACATTTTCTTATTGTTATTCAACAACATATGCAGTGTCACTACCACTTGTAAAATGATCACCTGTTTTTAAAAAGTCCAGAACTGCTCAAATGAATGTCCACAAGGCAAATTAATTAAAGAAGATAGCGTCCAAAAGACATGGCTATAATGCATCTGCTGTTTTACAAAGCCTTAAAGTGTCCATGTGCATTGTTTGGGGCTTCAGATATCTCAAAGTGTCTAAACTAGATCGCTCTCACGGCTGTGGCATTAACACGACTTATGTGTCTTTGTCTGGTCATCAACAAAAGCTTGTGGATTACTGGTGAGGCAGGCTCACACTGCATCTGCCTACATGTATGGGCAGGCCAGAGGAATGACTGGAGCTCTGGTGGGCTAAGCACTCTAAAAAATGTAGTTTGGCAAGTTTGCAGATGGGGGGGTAGACAGGTGGTGATGGTGTTGAGGGAGGGGGGTGCATCAATTTGTTTAGGTAAAAAAAAAATATATATATATATATATATATGATGGCATTTTGTCTGTATACTAAAACTTATATAGGTTATATTGTTATTGCTTTTATGCCAAAATGTAGTCAACTTCATATCTTTGAAACTTTCCTACCTGGAAGCACATTCCGCCTGCAAGAACAATAACAATACTGAGCTTCAGGTGAGGATTTGATTGGTCAAAAATGAACCAATCCGGAGGCAGCACTGAATGACATGGAAGCTCCTACCTGCTCTCACCTGATACATTACCTGGCTGACTGCAGTGAAGGCGTACCATTACCTTCCCATTACAGCCAGAGTGACTAAAGCGCATTGTGTACTTGGAGATCCAACAGTAAAGGTGTCTTCAAGAGCAGTCAGGAGCAATGGCCGTGGCAAACTTTCAGTATATAACTCGAATGAGCAGTGGATTCAAAGTCTACATTTTAGAGGGTAAGTTAGATGTTTATTTTTTCATTCTATTTTGTACAAAGTACCAACATTGTATAGATAACAGCTGTAAAGTTGCTTATGTTTTGATTTTTTATTGTACTTAAAAAAATCATCTGAAGAATTATATTTCACACCAACTTGTCAAGAATGTTTAAAGTTAGCTGTGCACTTCAGACTTGAAATCCCAATGCATAATAAAGATGTATTATGTTTTTAGAGTATTTTTATTTTGTAGAATTAACATTAACATTATGCTATTATCAAAGTGTATTTGTGCAAGAAATCTGATAAAGCACAAGGTAGAAGGTCAGGCCGTATATTACTGGCTGCTAATAAGGAAGAAATAACTATGCCTGGGGCAGTAGAAAATCAGCATAGGTGTGGTTATACCTGCCCCCTCCCTCTGCCACAATGGCTCTCTCTCTGAAGCGCTCATTCACAGGTGTTGGACTGTAGAGTTGAATAGGAAATGTGGATTGAAGTGTGTATTTGAGTATAGTGGCTCTTTTGAATAAGAATGGAAATGCCTCATTCAAACATTTGTCTTAACTGTGTATGTTAATGACAGATGCCACTTTAGTAATGCAATTTAAATACAGTAAGCTTTGACACTGACTTTGAAGAGCAGCAGCTCTGCCAATGTACACTATTCAAATTTAAGGCTCTTGAACTCTGAATTATGACTGACAGAAAACAAAGTTGATATTTTGGTTGTGTATGCATGAGTCGTTACATTTATTTACATTTCCACTAGAGGAAGGAGCATGCTTCACAAAAATAAATAAATAATAAATAAATAAAATATATAATATTTCAACATATTCCATGTTAAAAACTAAATAATAGATTAATTATATTAAAATATATGAATATGCATTTTGTTTTTATATTACATTTCTTTCATTGATAACAGCAGTTGACCAACCATATTGTTGCTTGTCTTTTTATCACGTTTATTACTTGAGTACAATGAGACTGATAAAAAGTAACTGATTGCTTCATTGACAAGGTTTGGTGTGAACATCATCCACAAAAACAACTCTTACCGTTAACATTGAATCAGCTGTGTCGTTTTGTAACCCTCACTGATCTGGTAAATCTAGTTCTACAGCTTAACGGAGTTTATAATTAACGGTGACAAATGTGATTCCCACGAATACTAGTCAGGCACAATGGTTTTCATAGATCAAAACAAGCAGTTAGCTGTCAGTACATGTCAATCAATATTATGGCCATATCAAATTATCATTCAAAACCACACTGCTATATGTATACTACTGTATTTAACTGGTGTGTTGCAACTACAGTACATAAGCAATATTATAATAGTCCTACTTTTCATTTGTTTTATAGGTCAGCCACATCATAGAAGTGAAGACCGATTTAGGCACATCCAAACTGAACCACAACGAGCTCCAAGTGGAAATCCTCTAAAACGCAAGCGCAGTTTCGAGCGAGGGTTGACCTTAGAGGAAAGGTTGGTATACTTTTATTTTTTAAAATATTTTTGTGCAGGGCAAATTTGATTTTTAACAGTTTATTTATTATCTATATAACAGACGGGAGCGGGCGCTGAGCAGAAGTCTTGCCAAAGCAGCAGAAAGAGAGTCACAAGTCGCATCGCACAGTCCACAAAGCTCAACTTCTTCTTGGAGTCCAGCTTGCAGTCCTACCAGCCCTGTTCCTCCTCATGTCTACTACGCACCCATCATGGATGAACCACTCGCCCTTATCAAGAAACCCAGAAAGGATCCAGAAATCACACAAGAGAAGCCCAAATGTACCACCCAAATCCAGGTACTTTGAATACACTTTTCAAAGTATAACTGTCAGGTGTGCCTGGGACGTAATGTTTTCTGTGTAACCTATACAAGTGTAGCTTGAGGGATCTTGCTGGTACATCTCCCATCTACACAGAGTGAGCTGGTGCAGGCCCATGCTTGTTCTAGCAATGCAATCCAGCCGGATTCAGGTAGAAAATGTGAGCAATGGAGGGAGGAATGCCATCAACAAGACCAAACAGACAGCTATGCCTTTGACCTGTGTCTGTGAAGGGGGAGGCCCAACCAGTTTAATCACTTTTATTATACACAGTTAGAGCTGATTTAAATGTACTACAGTATGTATCCTGTGATAATGTGCTGTTTGCATGTTTCATTTAAATAAATGTAATTTTAACCACAACCTTTATCTTGTGTATCCAGATGCGGCCCTCTGTGATAACCTGTGTGTCCTCTTTAAGAAGCCCAACCAGCAGGCCTGACATCCACAAGCCCATTTTGTCAGGTCAGTGAGTAGTTCATGGACAGCCCCTCCCTTTCCGGGATATGAGCACAGACATACACTCACTTTTTCTGACTCACCAATGATAGTAAGGTGTGTAACTCATGCTCATCATGCCCACCTTTCTCCTGCAGTTTCCCAAAGCCACTGTGACCGTGTTGTAGATGAGCACTTCCAGAGGAGCCTGGGCGAAAGGTACCAGAAAATGGTCCAATCCCAGCAGCAGCTCTCCATCAGCGTTTCTGTAGACGACCATTTTGCCAAAGCTCTGGGAGACAAGTGGCAGCAGATCAAATGTAAATCTTCATCCTGTTCCTCCACACCTCCTAGCAGCCCCAGCGTCACCCACTCACCCACATACAACAGCAGCCCGTACAGAGAGCCCACAAGCTCCAACCGCTGGTCCATTCACTAAAGCAGACAAAAGGACAAAAGACTTTTGGGACTCTTAACATTTCAATGCAACTCTAATTGTCAAGCAATGGTTTTATCCAAATGACATCACAAAACTACTATCACCTTGAAAAAATTGTGGTTCTTGACATTTGCTATTATATAGGAAACTACATGCCATAAGGAAAGACAATATCATGATATCATCAAACTGATACATTTGATATTTTTCATAGTACTGTTACCTGCCTATTGGCCAAATGCACCAAAAATGTCAATATTGTGATATGCCATATATTTGATGTGAATTCCTGTTTGTGCTGTTGAGTCTGATGAAATCCTTTTACATTTCTTTGTAAAAAAAAACAAAACAACAAATAATAATAATAACTGTGGGATTGACACAGATTTATTGTACTGTTTATTATTTATAAAGTGGGGCCTCTTCCAAAACATTTGCTGTGTAAATAGGCTACTGTAAACAAAATGTAGTATAAATAATAAAAACAATCTTGAACATATTAGTTTGGTGATTGTTTTTCTAACCAAACCTACATAAGGCTATCAACTGTGCTGAGGTATTCACACAATACAGTTATTATAATAGACCAAACCATTACAAATATTCTGAAGGTCACGTACTCTTTTACTAGACCCTGTAGAAAGTATGACCTCAATTCACTGGTGAGTCATTTGTTGTCTGGGACTCGTCCGGTGCGTCTTAAGTAATAAAAAATATAGGTGCATGAGCAACCCGTTTGGGGCTTTTTTCTTGGTAATTTGCGGGAATGTGGGCTACAGGTTTGAGCAGGCACTAGGCCCTGTGTTCTGACATTCCTGTCTCCTGAGAAAATGACTGTAAGATCCTACAGATCCTGTTTGGCAAGGGATTGGAGGGAGGGAAGAGGGAAAGCAAGGGTTGGGCTAATATGGGCCTGAGCATGAGAACTAGTCAAGCTTTTCGGTTACTTATTTGCATGCCCTATCATGTCGACTTTTAAATATAAAAGAACACATACAAATCCCAAACTTTAAATGATATAATTGCTATAGAATTTATTTAAAAAAAACATGTTGACATTGTGGAGGTTTAGTTCTGATGGGCAACAATCAAAATTAATGGATTAAGAGAATTCCATGAGACTCTAACAAAATGTGCCTACAGGCCTAGAGTAGATCAACTTTACACTGACTTAATGGTAAAGGATAACAAATTTATAGAACAAGTCAATATCAAATGGAAAAATGCAATTAACAAGAGATAAGACGACAGCTTTATGCTGACATCAAACAAATGTTTCAACAAGCCTGTGCATACAGCTATTACTGATCAAACTACTGAATCTAATTTTCCCTCTGTGAAACTGGTATTTCCACATATATGGAGCGCATTCATCATCCACTTACACAGTGCAACCTGAACAGGGGTGCCGGTGCCATCTAGAGGCCCTTGGGTGAGCCTGGTAAATAGGGACCATTGTCAAAAACAGTGTCAGGTTGCTACGGACACTGGCAGGTAAAATCACAGGTCCAGAGGCAGTGTGGGTGCTCATACTTAGCATACCAATGGATACAGGACAAAGTGTTTGCACTGAGAAAAGGTTACTTCAGTCCACAGTTAGTAGAAGGACTAAAGCAGCAATTCTCAGACTTTTCTTACCAACAAGTTGTGAGTTTACCAAGCTGTAAGGTTAAATCTAAGGTACAATAAAAAGACAAGCCCATTAAAATGTGTTATTATCAGAAATAAAACAAAAGCAAACAGGAGTAAGTCTAGAAAAGTCTATAACAGACCAACCAATAATAATCGAGAAAAAAAATAAGAATAAACTGTCTGTAAATATCTGTATTTTAACAGCAAAATACGCTTAAGAACCACACGAGAAACTCCACCACCCCATTGACTATTGCTCTAGAATAGTTTTTTTAACAGTTGGTGTAGGAACAGTTGGGATATACTGGGAATATTATGGCAGTGTATTCCCACGTGGTAACTGAACAAATGGCCTTAGTAACACAATTATAGCAGATAATAATGACAACAACCTCAAAGAGAAAACAACATTTAACTTGCTTCATAGTGGCAGTTATAATTAAGTATGCATCAGAAGGCGCATCGTTGGCCAAGCCTTCTGGGAAAGTGTTTCCAGTTGGTCTGATCCTTCAAAAGATAAATCCCCATAAACAAACAAAGAAGCGCTTTGTAAATGTTCACTATACACCTTTAATCTCCTGAGAACATGATTGCACTAAACAACTGTCTTTGTATTGAAAAAAATTGCAACAACCGTTCTTAAGTGACACAACAGAAATCAGTTCAAAGCTTACTATATTGTAATTACTTTGTCAAACAAAAGGGTAATGTCTTTAGTTGTTTTGTTAAAGATTGGGATAATATGAAGAGAAGATTTTTACTATATCCTATAACAGTCTTGGATAACCTACATTAGAAATACAATTATTTCTAATCCAAGTTCTTCATTGTTGCAATAGCAAAATGGTCATAGGTTTTAGAGAAGGGGGTCAAAATGTTCCACAAAGGTGGCATTTAATAGGCCACCAAATACTGTGCAGTAAGTATGACTGAAGGGCACGTGGCAAGCAGTAATAATAAGTAATGAGGAGGAAGTCATCAGCACATTTGGGAGCACTGTAGCATTTCGGGAAAAGACAAATTATGCTGACTCTCACTGTAGCTCTAGTTTCTCAGTAAAATGGCTACTGATGGTTGATAAGTAACATCACCTGTTGCTTCACTTTTCCGCAGAGCACTGCATTGTTAGAATGACATTCACTTGCATAAAATTGTGTAAAACAACTGTGTAAGGTCTAACACTTAAAAATAGGTAAAAAATAAACAAACAGACAAAATAGACAAACATAAAAATGTGTAATGTTTAATTCAAGCAATACTAAAATAAGAATGTATATATGTGTGTATGTATATGTGTGTGTGTATGTATGTATGTATGTATGTGTATGTATGTATGTATGTATGTATGTATGTATGTATGTATGTATGTATGTATGTATGTACTTATTAGATATAGTCCCACCCGTTATTTGTCATATGACATATTACTCCCTTCCGGTCAAATGGAATTAGGCGCATGTATATAAGTGGCCACAAGATGGCGCCAGATGATGATGATGATGATGATGATGATGATGATGATGCAAAGATTATTACATTGCGGTCAGAGCCCCCTCCAGGCCCTCTCATTAGCATAGGATAAAAGTAGAAATAGCAAATGTCTTTGTTTAATGTTGGTTGCTACCTGAAGGGTACTGTTGGTGTCGTTATCAACTTTTAGATTCTTTAAAAATAGACAACCAACCATTGTTTCACTGTGGGGCCAATTTAGTGAATTTGAGGGATTTTCCTTCCTACCATAATAACATAGGCTACTATAATTATCCATGTGTCAACAAACAAGCTAAACATTAGCTTTAGCAGCAGCGGTCTCATGACCAAACTGGAAAGGCGTGTACAAAGCGGCCTAATATATAAACCGTGTACTCACCAAAGCCTCCGAAGTCAGTGTGCTGGCCTCGCCTCCTTTGTCCGCGGGTGGCAGATCCATTTAGTTTGCATAGATCTTTAAAAGCGCTTTTTTTTTTTTTTATGACATTCGGACACACTCACACAGATCTGCTGTGATCCACGTGAGTAAAAAGTTTGTTTTATTGCACTGTTTTGTCTCGAGTCCTTTAGTTTCACCTGTTGATATTTTGTGGTCAAAATTTCAATTATGCAAGACCGTAAGAAGATTAACATACCGCTATTTTCTATACAGAGTCAGTTTGAGAACAAATGTGTAATTATTTTCAGCTCTGGAGATCCCTTTGAAGTTTAAGTGGATTTATCTCTGATTTGGAAGAATTAGGCCCATTAGAAGTAGAATTATGTAACGCAGATGTGTATTCACACCTTTTTAATAGGTTTAGTCAAAGATGTGTGACTTTTAGTTTTATTTATAATTATTTGGCCAATTTGAAGAACATCTATGATTTATTCAATTGGACAATGTCTCCATACATTAAACCTCACATAGATGAGATTATAATTTTAATTTTAATTCTATTTTAGAGTAGTTGACATTTACCAAACAGGTGTGTGACTCTAATATGCACTTCCCTGTACTAAATCAATTGGATGCTGTAGTTATTGTGTTTGTTTAAGGAAATATGAGTTTACACCTCCATTGTTGTAATAAAACCTGTCTGAACTGACATTGCTAATCACAATTACTGTTTGCCTTTTTTTTTTTCTTCTTTTTTACAGCATTCATCCTAAAGCCCATTGACACCATGGAAATAGTTCCAGCCATTAGACTTTGTAATGTTATAATGAAGCCCACACATAAACCATGTTTATCTACGTAGCATCAAATCTACATAAAACAATTGCACTTGTATATATTTTTATTGTATTCCATTGCTATTTATTTACACACACATTACCTCATAGTATTTAATTTTTTCCTGTTTTTTTTTTTAAAATAAAACTACTCTTAAGAATGGATTCTACTACATTAGCAGCCTTTGCCACAGTCACAACTGTAGCACTCGCTACACAGTCTGACATGTCAGGCTACCTATGGCTGTTGATATTGGGCTTCATCATTGCATTTGTCCTGGCATTTTCTGTTGGAGCCAATGATGTGGCCAACTCCTTTGGTACAGCAGTGGGCTCAGGTGTAGTCACCCTGAAACAGGCCTGTATCCTGGCCACCATCTTTGAGACTGTGGGCTCAGTGCTGCTGGGGGCCAAAGTCAGTGAGACCATCCGAAAGGGTATTATAGATGTCCAAATGTACAATGGCTCTGAACATGTGTTGATGGCAGGATCTATAAGTGCTATGTTTGGTATGTGTATTTGTACTGTTCAAATATATTTATAATAAGGAGAAGTCTTTTATTTAGTAGTCTTTCTCATGTTTTTGACCCACAGGCTCGGCTGTGTGGCAGCTGACTGCATCTTTCCTGAAGCTCCCCATCTCTGGAACACACTGCATTGTTGGAGCCACAATTGGCTTCTCCATGGTGGCCAGAGGTCACCAAGGGGTCAAATGGATGGAGCTGCTCCGAATAGGTAAATATCCTGATAACACTAACACATATTATGTACAAATAAGTAACATTTTGTTTTCTACTTTCCCAGTGGCATCCTGGTTCCTGTCCCCTGTACTTTCAGGCATTATGTCAGCCATACTCTTCTATTTTGTTCGTAAATTCATTTTGAATAAAGTAAGACAGTTTTGTTTATATCTGGATACAACATTATAGTTGGACGTTTTGTTTCTGACTGGACACACACTCTTATTTTCAGGAGGATCCTGTTCCCAATGGCCTCAGAGCCCTGCCTATCTTCTATGCAATCACTATGGGTGTTAACCTCTTCTCTATCATGTTTACCGGAGCACCACGTGAGTATCACAACACCACATGCTTTTTGTCTGTTAACACAGACAGTAGTCAACATCTAATTGTAAAGAAGTTAAAAAGTGAAAAACTGCTTCTGGTGTGTGTTATGTCTGTAAAACAGTCATAGCAACAGATTTGTTACATTAACCGCAACAATGTTTATTCTAACCCTTTTACTATTTTGGCTTGAGGTAAGATGCCAGGGCTATTTAAAAAGCAGATATAGTGGATAGAGGTTTAAGTAACAAACTGTTCCTTTAGTAGCTTTTATCACTGCTCCACAAGCCTTGTCTGTTGGGTACTATCTGAGAGGAGCAGTGTGTACTGCCACTGATACTGAAGAGCCAACTGAACTAAAGCACACTTGAGTATGATTTTAGTCACATGACCACAGCTCACTATAGTAAAGAGGTTATCTTAAATAACAGCAATAATATTTGTTCGTGTTATCATTTTCCTAATTAGACTGTATATTCCATGTAAACAGCCTCTTAATATTCAATTTATCTTCCTATGTACAGTGCTGGGTTTTGACAGAGTGCCATGGTGGGGGACCCCTTGTATTTCACTGGGCTGTGCCATTGTTACAGCTCTCATAGTTTGGTTTGCGGTGTGTCCACGGCTCAAGAAGAAAATAAGACGTAAGTGCTGTATTATTTTTATTAGAGTTGTCCAAAAATTTTAATCTTTAAATGATAAAACTAGTATTACATTTTTAAATTTATTTACCTCTTCCACTTCACAAGCTCCACCATCTGAAAATCAGTTTTTAACTATTTACTTGATAATAGTACTAGTATTTACCTAAACGAATATTGTGTTGGAGTAGTTTGAATAACATTTATTTTTACAAAACTGAAAATTATATTGAAAGTTTCTATTAATTTGACTGACAGCAACTGTATCAAGTAGTGTAGGTTTCTTTTCATTCTTTTATCACTGAATATTTTTGATCTTTTAGGAGAAACAGCAGCTGCTCCTTGTGAGACTCCGCTGATGGAGAAGAGCCCCAGTAAACCAATGGCATTTCCATCAGTTCCCAAAGCACCTCCCCCCAAAACACCACCAGCCGAGAGCGAGAAAGTATCATTCAAACTAGGAGGCTCTGAAGAGACAGATTTGGATCATACTGACGTGGAGCCTAAGGATTCAGATATCAGCAGTGGTGAGTATTTATCACAATAAAAAATTATAGATTATTGTATGTATTACTTATATTATAGTATCACTTTTTAGCATAATTTTAATCACATTTACATTACAACTCTTTGTGACAAAGAGTACTTAGGGCAATGCAATATACCACAGAATAACTATCACAATATGACGCAATATCTATTTCCCTGTTGTTTTGCCTATAGAGCTTGAAATGAAAATTCATGACCAAATTCGTCCTAATTTCACATTTCTTTTTGTTTTATTCCTCATGTAGTCTTGGTGTTAGTGTAGTTAATATACACTAGTATGACTAGTAACTATTTTTTCTTATACCCTGCAAGTGCTTGGTGTACTATATTAGTGTATTAATAGTAGCAGTAAAGTGACTAGTGGCAGTAATATTAACAGTACTATTATTAGGACACTAGTTATGGAAAGTCTGCTATAATACATTTACTCTTTAGGGCTGAATGGCTCCCTTGGGCCCATGATGCTCACTGACCCTCACAGTGGTCGCTCTCACACCATCAGCAAAGACTCTGGCCTGTATAAAGACCTGCTCCACAAACTGCACAAGGCCAAAGTGGGAGAGTGCATTGGGGATAGTGACACAGAGGAGAGGCCTATCCGCAGAAATAACAGCTACACCTCCTACACTATGGCTCTTTATGGCATTCAGGACGACCCCAAGTACAGGGATGCAGTGGATGGGAGTTTTAAGAGAAGATCCAGGGTGGACAGTTACAGTAGCTACACCTCGTCAGTGACCACAGGCAGTGTTGGTCCAGATGTGGCTGTGGACACGGGGAAAGAGCCCACGGAGGAGGAGGATGAGCTGGAGATAGACCAACCCGCTGTTTCACTATTGTTCCAGTTTCTGCAAGTGCTAACGGCTTGCTTTGGATCATTTGCTCATGGAGGGAATGATGTCAGGTGAGTAGAATTCTGCAGGGGAGTGGTTTATAAGCTGATTACTTCATAGGAGTCCATTTAGATTTAGTAGACCTACATTAGTCTTGGTTTAGACTGAATAGTGCTGGTCTGTTGAATAAAGTTAATCTGCTTGCCATTGGTTAATATGCTTGTCTTTTATTCACCAATGACTGGTTCATTGTTTGATTTTCTAACTTTCTTTTGGTTAAATCAATAATTTTATTAAATCAAATTAATATGATTCTTCAGAATTCAGAATTACAGTAAAATCCTCGGTATATGTTTTTGATGGGTTTACGCTGTCTGTTATCTTTTTATTAGCAATGCAATTGGACCACTGGTTGCGCTGTGGCTTCTCTATGAGAGTGGTTCAGTGTTGTCTAATAGTCCCACTCCTGTTTGGCTGCTGTTATATGGAGCAGTAGGAATCTGCACTGGACTTTGGATTTGGGGCCGGAGTCATTCAGACTTTGGGAAAGGACCTGACCCCAATTACACCTTCAAGGTTTTTGTTGTTGTTTTTTTTTATTTTACAACAATGTTTTTTTCTTGAATTCTATACTTAAACTGGCTAATAATCTGATAACAATATATACAAGTACATAACCTGTATTGTTACTTGTTTTTCAGTGGTTTCAGCATTGAACTAGCCTCGGCTTTAACTGTTGTTTTGGCATCAAATATTGGTCTTCCTGTAAGCACAACCCATTGCAAGGTAACCTTAAGGTTAACTAAATAGGTTCAAAATTACACTATTTTCTCATAACTTGAGTTTATTAGTCTTTGTTTGTTATATGCATTTTATTGTGACTTTCAGTGCTAGAGTCTACTGTATAAATATGTAACCTCCAGCTAAATAAACAACTCGACTGGCAGTTAATCACAGATGTGTGTTTACAGGTGGGATCCGTGGTAGCTGTGGGATGGCTGCGCTCCAGGAAGTCAGTGGACTGGCATCTTTTCAGGAATATTTTTATTGCGTGGTTTGTTACTGTTCCCATTTCTGGACTTATCAGTGCCGCCATAATGGCCCTGTTCATATACATTATCCTGTGAAAATTTGTTTGTTTGTCACTGTAATTTGAATGACTCATTTATGACAAGTCATAAATTATATGTATTGACTGATTTTTTAAAAATCTTGTATATGGAACTTTATTTTAGTTTTCACATGATATAACAATTTGCCATTTAAAGTATTATATTTGATAATTTTGCAATGATTTTGTACATATTTTGTAATGAAAAGATAAAATGGTTATTTTATGATTTCACTATATTTTAATTTGAAAGTATTTTATATTTTACACTTTTTTTTCCCTCTAAGGTGGCAATTAGCAAATGGACTGTGATACCTGGATTTGAAAAATAAACTGTTTGGGGTCCAAATGCATGTTATTACTGATTATAACTAACGGCCACTGGAGGGTGGTGTTGTTTAAGTTATGACCACCTCATCTCCTTTGCCCATTGTTTTTATAACAAAAATATAGATATAATTATTGCCATTAAACCATAAAAAACAAACAAACAAAGAAACCCGAGTTATGGAGAGAAAAAAAGTTAATATTCTGTATATATGTTGTTTTGTCAATGGCAATAAAGTGATTTAAGGGCACGTAAATCTAGCTTAGAGAGCCATGTATAATGTCTAATGAATAATGTATATCGTTCTTTATACAGTCTGTGGTCTCCCCTTTATCTTTTATTAAGCCAAGCCAAGTATTAGTGATGGACAGTAGGTGGTGCTGGTGTTCGATTGATTTTATTTTATTTAAATTTTTTTTCAAACAATTACCCTGGAAAACATTCAGAAAATATATACTTTAAGATATATAATGTTATTTCAAATAAACAATTAGTACTTTTATTTGCTTATTTAACAATGTGTTCAGTCGTTACTTTAAGTGAGAATAGACCTTGACAAATCTATCATAATAAAAATTAATTAGTTAATATGGTGGAATCTAATACCTATTCCTTCTAAAAATCAATGTTGCGCAATGATGTCAAGGAATAACATGATCATATTGACATAGGAAGTCGTAGTTTTACTCGACCTTTAATTTGAAAATACTACGGAAAAAGCCATTTACTTCACTTACACTTAACAGTGTGGGGTCCCTATCAGAGGCTATCCTTACAGGTGCGCTTGGACCGCCGTGCGTAATAGTGAGCAACAAGAAATGCGCATTTACTTCACGAATGCATGATGTAAGCCTCACAGAGGAAAGTGTGCGACTACAACTGGTTATCTATGCATCCTGTTTTGTTAAACAGTGTAACTGGGGCATGCATTCACTTCAACAGCGGACCAACAAGCTGATGTGATCGGCTCCATATACACGGGAATAAAAACGACGTTTAGGCGCCAACATCGGACCATTCGAGCTAAAGGAGGTGTGTATGCAAAAAGAGAATTGTAAAGCGCAAACCGTAGGCTAATAGACATCGCACATGTGCCTTTTAAAACGCGCACCCTCTTTTACAGTCTTTGAATCTGAAATGCAGCGTTTACCTGGCAGATGTGGACGACCACCACTGCAGCCTACAGGTCTGGATCGCCAGCATCGTTTTCGACCAGGAACACATTGCTTGAAAATAGTAGTAGAGAAAAACGGAAGCGATTTTTTTTTTCATATGTAGTGAATATTGTCAGTGTGTCAGGCTTTCTGGTTTAATTCTTATGATGTTGTGATTAAATATCTCTAGTTGCCAAATGTATTCTCAACTCGTGCATGAAAATGCGTACTCAGATAAAACTAATATTTTTGATAAAAAATCTAGCGTGTTTCACCTGTGGATTGTTTTTCATTACTCTTATCCTGACTGTTTGTTGTTGTTGTTGTTGTTTTTTTCCCCCCCTAGATTGTGTCTAGGTCCTGTGGATCTAGCATAATTTGGCTTGAGGGAGAAACTAGAGAGAGAAGAAAGCCCCTTCCATCTCCACTGCGATATGACCTACACTGTCACAATGCCTTTTTGACACCGGTATGAGATGATTGAGGACTACAACTGTTAGAAGCTGACAGAAGCTTTTTGTTTGTGGTTACTGACACACCATGTTTCCGAGTGAGAGCTGATTGAAGTTGCAGTGGTGTAGTAGGCCAGGACTAAGCCAGCAGCTGAAGCGCAGACACCACGCACAACAGAGAAGATGGCTCGTCCCGGATCAGGGCTCAATGGGCTGGGATACCCCCCTCAGAACCTGGCCCGTGTGGTAGTCTGGGAATGGCTGAACGAACATGGGCGCTGGAGACCCTACAGTGCTGCTGTGTGTCACCACATCGAGAATGTTTTGAAGGGGGATGCCAGAGGGACAGTGGTGCTGGGACAGGTGGATGCACAGCTCTCCCCTTACATCATAGACCTGCAGTCCATGCATCAGTTTCGGCAAGACACAGGTAAGAATGACCCCAGATGCTAGTTTACTTGCATAAAGATCAAATCGTGATCTCATTCCACTGGCAGTATGCTCAGTATGGTGATGATGTGATTCAGGACTTCTCTCTTGAATTAAGTTCTATGCACAAACGCCAACTCACCACCAATTAATCTTGTTGGTCATCCTCTGTCATCTTCTGAGTGAGTGGCACGTGGATTTAAGTAATCACAGTGTAGTGTAAACTTACTGAAGCCCTTAAAGTCAATATTGTAACTTCATGAATCATGATCAAATCAAAATTGTGCTAGAGAATAGTGCTCTTGTCTCCTTTGTCAGCTGTATTCCACAAAGGCTCTTATTTTAATAGAAGTGTATAAAATGATGACAAAGCAGTTTCAGTATGCTTGAAAATTGAGACAGGAATTCCCATTTTTACACTATTGTATTGTTTAGAATAAATAACAGTTTAATCTGAAATTTGGACCAGATTTTATTTTGGTCAGTTTTGGGACAGATTTTGGTTGCCACTTGCAATAACAGTGTTGAACTAGCACACATGATTAACAGGGTCGTGGGGGCAGTAGAAATGATTAATCGTTTATTCATACAGTAGTCTGTTGATGCTGCTGCTGGTGAGCTGTGACCTTGCCAAAGGTCACCGCGTTTAAGAGGACATGCATTCATCAAACCAGCAACTGCCCGCATTAGCTGCTCCACTGTGGTCCATCTATTTGGAAGGACATACATGGATGTTGGTTGGTTTAAACATTTGCAAAATTTCTGTATAGTAGCATTACCCTTATTGTTGTCACACAAAGTAATAGGTGACTTTTTGATACTACAGTTATCAAAATGTATGTATTTAGTTTGTAAAAATGTAGCTCACACTTCTTTTTTTGTAGCTCCTGTAGTCTTATTGCATACCCTTTTATTTTACTATAGCTTTATCTGATACAGCCCTTGTTTCCTTCAATGATTCAGTGATTATATTTGCAAATAGTGTTACATTTTCCATTGCAGATTGTGGCTGTGACTGAGGCTTGTATATTTTCTCACATCTGTGTTGAACTCACCTGCTGCCCTCCTGTTTGAAGCAGACATGTGTGGGAGGTTTAAACAGCTGCTGGTCCAAGCTCTCCATCTCTCGCTGTCTGAAATAGAGCTGCAGAAATTCTTTGAATGTATAAGCGCTTTTTAAAAAATCAAACAAGATAAAGATGCTCTGATAGTGAGAGCCATTACCCTCAGGGACAGCCCTTCTAGTCAGAGATTACATAACTTAGAGACCACTCTCATGATAAGGGAGTTTGACCCTGCCATGTTTCCATTAGAATTATGTCCTGTCTGTGACATCTTTTATTGTTGACAGCTTTATTGCTTTTACTGGTCATAATTTAATTGTATATAATTATATTGGTGGTGTATGATTAGTGCAATGCTAAATTAAATGATCAAATATGATGCTAGAGTTCACCTTATATGCATAATATAAATTATTTGTTCTGTTTAATTCCAACACAGTATCTGACATGTTTTTGTGTTACAGTATTGCAATTAAGATAAGTATCAGTTATTACAATATTAATATTTCACAAAAAGGTGATTGATTTAATAGTCATGAGTGTTGTTCCTGATTTGATCGTGAAATTAGTTTTGCTTCATGTTTTTGTTAGTCCAGAGCTTTGTTTCTCATGTATAGTAACATCATATATACAGTATTTATCCTGTTAAAGGATACAAAATGCTTCTCATGACAGAATATTACAAGTGTGCTGTTCCTCCATCTTGTAACATGTGGCGAAACAGGCTCAGGATTGGTTTTGCTATGTGGTACACTGAAGCGGCAAAACAATACAGTTGTGGTTGGCTGAGTATCTGCTGTTTGTGTCCCCTCTGAGCACCACATGAGTCTGGATGTGCTTGAATGAGATGAGCCACTGAGCTGTGTGTCATGTGCCCAGTGCCGTGTCTGTCTAGTCTCTATTCACCTGGGATAAACCCCCCTTTTCATACTGTATCTTCAATTACGGAGTCCAAATTTCTATTTTGACAAATGCTGGAGAACAGTCCAAGCCGCTACGAGGTAACTGTCAGGTTGATATTAGGAGCTACAGGAATGCTTTATGAAACTTTGAATTATGATTGTTCAATTTAGAGATTGGTGATACATTAGTGCTTGGTACTGGTGATATCAGGGGATATTTTCATTTTCATTTTACTATTTCTAATGGAAATTAAGATCGAGAGACACATGGAGAAATATACATTACATCCCTGACATGCATTTGTTGATATAGAGAGAAACTTTTTGGATATTGTTGCTTTGAAGTTGAAAACAAACTACAGGGACCTATCCACTATGGTGAACCATATGTACTGTATATAGTTTTTAATATTCTGTGTATCATGTCAGTAGGACCTGGTGTGGCCCTCTTGGCTTTTTAGGGGAACCCTTCTTTCTCCCTGTGGCTTTGGGAGGGGCCCCTGTGGGACTCAGCCTTCCAATATTACCATGACAGCCTCTCTCCAGCTCCCTCTAATCACTGTACAATGACGACAGCAAACACACCACAGATACTGCCCCAAAGCCCTTGTAGCCCAAACACATGTGTATCTAGTTACCTTCCATAAACTTCAGCTTAATACACCTTCTTAGTCCAGTTTTCAATGTCCCATGCTGTGAAAACTGCCTAGGAGCTTATGTACTGTGCCACAACAATGGTGGCAAATATGAGGATATGATGAAGATGATATAAATTGTCACAGTTTTGCATCTTTGTGCAAAATGTTGATCAAAAACCTCCTGTTTAAGAAAATCTAAACACATCTCCGGTTCAAAACCATGTATTCCACATGAACACATTTTGTATTGTTTTTTTAATATAAAGATTTCAAAAAGTCTATTATAAGTGGGACTATTTAAGTTTCACTGTCTTTTCTGATTTGTCCTTTATGAATGTATGTGGCTGGGGCACTGCACTTACTGGGTGGAACTGGAAACATTCCTTTTAAGATTTCCACTTTTGGTTCAGAGAACAGAGCACGATCAGTTTGGAAAAGGACATGTGTCTATCTTGTTCCAATACGGTCTTATGAAAATAATTCTTTAAAAAAAAACATTTTGTTTTCAAATTTTCATGGAACACTGATGGAGAACTGAAAGAACAGAAAGCCACCCAAAACGCAACACAAAGTTGCCAACTTGATCATCTGTGTTATCAGTATACATGGAGGTCAGTGTCGTTTGGTTGAGAATGGCGCTATAGGCTGAGGCAGGACTGGCCCATGTCCAAGAGCATCGATCTGCTCTTCCCCAGAGAGGTGTTGGGGCCTCTGAACACTGCTGTGGACTGATCCCCTTTCACTACACCCACAGCCAGCGCAAACACACACGCTTATCTGCCACTTTGATCCTATACCAACACTTGTGAGATGGCCATTACACAGTGCACTTATTTCTGCTGCCATCTGGGCTTCCACTCTCACTGAACTTTGATTTGTATTTTTACTAACAAGAAGGGGCACTATGAAAACCTTAGTACAATTTATACTAATATAAATTTATTAATCTGCCGACTAACATTGTCACATATGACAATGTTGTTTACTGCCTGTAGCTTTATGCTTTAACAGCACAGTGGCCTGGGGGGTATTTCATCAAAGTTGTTTAACAAATCCAGGCTTATCCTGAAATCCTGAGCTGAATCCAGCTCTATCTTTAGCTTAAGCCTCAACTCATTCCATGATAGAAATAAGCCGGGTCTAACCAAAGCTAATTCATGGCTGAAGTTTAAGATGTGCTTTGTGCATGCTCAGGTGACTCTGAGAAGGCCAGAGCAATGAAAATGAAATGAAAATTTTATGTTTCTTATGATCTGACTAAACGAGAGAGGAGCAACAACGTAGTTTGATTTGGGCCACGGAACTTTCCGGTCATTCTGATCTGAGGACTCCCCCCTCCTCTCCTGTTTGTTCCTCCTCCTCTCCCGGTTGCTTCATGGGTAGAGAGGATGCGGGGTAGTACATGCGGCGCTTAAGTTTCGTTGTGCTTAAAAGTAAACTGAACTCTTCTCATGTAGCTTAACAAGAAACAATGAAAACTGCGCCAAGGTGTTTGCAGTCTGACAGGGAGCGAGAGACGAGGGATTGAAGAGAGAGACAGACGTGATGAAGGAACGGACAGACAGAACCACTGTTATCCTCAGAGTCCAAACCAGCATCTGTCTGTGTGTAAAAGCTACACTGCCCCTCACAACAGCCATGTGTAAGATCATTTTAATGGAATAATGGCCATAGGCTTTCATATGGTTTGTGCCTTTTTTGATGAGTGAAACATCCACAAATCTTTAAAGAAGGTCTGAAGAAACAGTTCGCCTGGTCCTGACCAGGTTTGTTTCCGGGTGCTTGTTACTGTGGCAGCTCGGCGCCACCTCTGGTTAGTCACACTGGTGGAATGGAACTGAGGCTTTGACAAGCCTGGATTGGCCAAATAAGTCAAGCTTTCGCTTTAACTCGCTTCAAGGAATACCCCCTGTAGGTATTTTGGTAATTTATTTCATGGTAAATTATTCTTTAAACATCACTGGTTAAGCAGTCAAATCCACTGACCCACATGTTGGCTGGTGGGATTCAAGCTCCAACAGATGAATGCTGTTGTGTCCTTGGGCCAGACACTTAAGCTACCTCGCCCCCAGTGTTTCTGTACACTGGTGTATGAATGTGTGTGTGAATGGGTGAGTGGTGCCTTGTTGTAAAGCGTTTTGAGTGCCTTTAAGGTAGAAAAGCGCAATATAAAAATGTTACCTCTTACCATTATCTTAATTGTATTTTTCTTATTTATTCTGTAGTTGCCTTGAAAATATTTGCTGGACTTTTATAGTCAGTAGTTGATTAAACATGAAATGCTGTGTGCTTCTTGCGCTCAGATTCCCACAAGTGCTGGTGACTCAACTTGGTCCAGCCCTTAGTGGACTGGACTGGTGATTCAGCTACATCTCTGTACCACTAGATTCAGGTCAA